ACACAGAACTGGGAATGAACCAAGTCTACGGTTTGATTTTGGAAATTATCATGCATACTATGGACTTCGGACAAGGTGAGCTCCTCTATGTCTTCCTGCCAATATGACCAGGTTGTGAAAAAAAGGTCAAACAACTACTATACATAGAAAAGAGACAGCGACCAAAATAGAGGTTACAGCATTTTTGTCTTAGTATTTACGTTCTTAGTATAGAGCTTAATCTTCAACTAGCCTAGAGACATAAAAAGCATTTAAAAAAAGAATAGGATAAAGAATCTCACTCGTAGGAGTTTGATCTCGGAATCAGATTTGTCTGCCCGGCCTTTTGCTTGATGAAGCTGGCAACGGACCGAAAAAAGAGTCTCACGTAGGTTTGTTACCTGCTCACGCTTTAACCTATAGCCTTCAAGACATCGTTCAAGTTCGCGACGCAGGCCCGTTAAGATATTTGCTGTTAATAGTTGTTGCCCTCGACTACTACCAGCAGTGTCACGGTTATTGGAGTGTAAATCTGATCTCCTAGAAGTTATGGCGGTTGTGGGCAAAACTAGGGACTCCCGGAGTTCGCGAAGGCCATCGAACAAAGGCGTTTCAATCAAGTCCGCACTTGATGGATGATTTGTGGATGTAAAGAGAAAATAAATTTTGTTTAATACCTTAGAGCTGTGATAAAAAGTAAGGCAGGCGAAGACTGCGAATGATAAACTATCAAGAAACAACAAATCGTCCTCGAGCAAAATTGTGCAGCTTTCCTCAGCATTATTCACAATTTTAATCTAACGAGGTATTCGCTAAATTTAATTTAACAATAGACAGATTTTATAAGGCCAATATTCCTTGAACGAATTTTGTAATATTGAAAATACAAAAATTATCGAAATATGTAAGTGTCATGAGTCTGTCAAAATTATCTCATTTAAATAAAGATAGAAAAATTCAAATGAAAACATTTCAAATCGAGCCACTGCATTATGGGAATCAGTCTTCCTCTTTTGGTGAGATAGACCTACAAATCTCTCAATCAGGCATTTTCGCATAAGAGTCGTCACAAAATCTATATCTTGCTGGTTCGACCTTGTTTCCGCAACTTGGTCGGAGCGTCAGGCAGACCTTGTGGAACGTATCTAGTCCCGCTTCCTCTGTCATAGTATTTGTTATTTTTAGCTTTGGACCATTGACTGGGTACATTCCTATTCACTACGTAGGTTCCACAAAGTCTCCCTGATACTCCGACCAAGTTGCAAAAACAGGGTCGAACCAGCATTAAAAAGAGAAAGAAGACTGAGACTGATATTTGCGCTTGCAGAGGAACTGGTGTTGAACAATCAGGTTAAGCGATATATTCCTAAGATTATAAAATATTAAAATGTATGTATATAAGATAATTTGAAGTATCTCAGTGGAAAAATTCAACTATCAGTTCTTCATCATAAACGAAATAGAGTGAGCACAATTTCGATCTCAGCATTTAAAAAT